GAGACGGGCGCACGGGTGCCCGGGACGCGGGACGCTGCGGCGGGGTCTGGGCCGTCTCTGAGCCCCTGGCAGGGAGTGCGGAGGCTCTGAACAGCGCCGGAGAAAAGTGTGGAGAAAGTAACAGGGCTCTAGAGGCAGTTGACCTAAATTCAAACTCTCGGTAATTTGTAACATTGAGCAACCTAAAATTCTCTGAGCATGTTTCTTCGCCTCTCAAATGGAGATAGTGTCACCATCATAGGGTGATTGTAAAGATGGAATTGTTTAACTTGTTAAAAACATTTAGAAATCTAATATTTAGAGGGCGCTTAACTAAGCCCTTTCATGTGCTGTCCTCCTTAGCAGGTCATCCTTGGCCTCTAGGTTTCTATAGGGTTTGTAGAAGCCATTTCACTCAAATACCTTTCTGCCTCCTAAAGTTCATAATGCGATATGTCTAACTTGTCTCCAAACGGGCTGTAATTTTACCTGACATCCTTTTGGCTTTACTTACAACTCACCATTTGCATATCCAAAACAAAATTAGTGTTCTCCCCAAAAAGCTTCTCCTTCCTTTTGCGTTTCTTCTCTCTCTTCTTCAGCTGTTTCCACCCAGTTCATTCTTTGATTTGACCGTTTATAAAGCATCTTTACGCGCCCAGCAATATGTGAGAACCTTGAGGTATAGTGAAGCCTAGTGGTGATGTGAGTGGGAAGGTGTATACTTCGGAAATGAATGAAACATTAGACACGTTGGGATACAGACTTATAAGGGTGTGAGCACACACCCAAAGGTGTAATCAGACCTGAAAACGTAGTCAAAAACAGACTTCTTCAAAGCAAAGTTAGCTCTGGAGTTTGGGGGGAGAGGTAAGGCAAGTAATTCTAGACTAAGGGGTCAATGAAACACGCTCTTGTGTTTAGGGAACTGAAACCTATGATACCAGCAGCTAAGTGAAAACAAGAGAATAAGATGAGTGATAAGACAGCAGAAATCGAAGAGGCCCGATATTTGAGTGCCTTGCTTAGTTTACCAAGGAGTTTGAACTTAATCTACCAAACAATGGTGAATCACTGAAGAGTTTTAAAAGTAAAATAGTAACATGATCACGTTTGCATTTTAGGGAGCAGATTCTGGCTGCAGTGGAAGCTGGAACAAAGATTTGAGAGATTGGAGAAAGCAGCTCCAGTGCCAAAAAGGGAAGTTTAAATAGGCGCGGGCGCAAGTACACACACACACACACACACACACACACACTCTCTCTCTCTCTCTCTCTCTCTCTCTCTCTCTCTCTCTCTCTCTCTCTCTCTCTCTCTTCAAGGAGAAAAATCATGCTGTTAAATTGTTCAGATTACATCTGGGGCACTGAAAAGTTTGACTATGAAATACAGGGTAGGGAAACTCAATACTACATAGAAGTAGCTATGAATTTCTACACCAAAAAGTTCTCATCCTGTGATTATGGGAAAGTCACTATACAAATTTAAGATTCAGTTTCCTCCCCAATAAAGATTCAATTTCTTCCTTACCTGGCAAAAAATGAAAATCAGCATGCTATCAAGATGTATAAAGAGAATAAAACGATACATTTGTTCATTCAATAAACATTTATTGAATATTTTCTTCATGCCAGACAAGGGGCTCAGATGCACAGTATTCAGAAATAAAGGAGTGTACTTCCCTCAGAGGGGAGACAAGTTGGTTAAAACAATAATAATAAATCTTTCCACTATACCTTACAATTCTTAGAGAAATGAAGATAAACTTAATGAAGTACAGAGAATAGTAATAAAAGCATTGATAAGAATGAAAAATTTATGGAGTTGAGGATATACCAAGAAATTAGAGTAAGAGTACTCAAAGAATGTTTAAAAGATGCAAACTGCAATTGTTCTCTATTCCAGTAAAGAAACTACCTTATAATCAAAAATTAAGAACAACTTTTGTACTCCCATGCACCCAGATTAAAATACTGTAATGGCACAAAGGAAGGCCAGGAAGTTTTAATTTCTGCAACAATTTGTGGAAAGAGCATATCCAAAAGAATAATCATTCATTTACTTCACATCAGAGTTCTGGACCATATCATCCTTTAGGTTCCCTTTAATCCTGCAATTATAAAAGAAATTTTGAAGAAAGGGTACATAGGGCATTCTATCTAGAAATGATCTATCTATCTAGAAATGATCTATTCACCCACATATTAGTTCATCTGGTTTTTTTGTAGTGTAAGGAGTGAGGTGCAGGCTGGTGTCCCAGATTCTGATCATTTCCAGAAGTCACAAATTGTATGTCTGGATTCATAAAATTAATTTTAAGTATTGAGTGTATGTATTCCTAAGTCTATTTTTTATCTTTAAAACCATTCTGTTGCTGGACTCAGTGGTACACACCTGTAATCCCACTTACTCAAGAGGCTAAGGCAGGAGGATTGAAGGTTCAAGGTCAGCCTTGGTAACTAAGATCTATTTCAAAATAAAAAATAAAAAGGGGTAGGGATATAGCTCAGTGGTATAGTGCCCCTGAGTTCAATCCTCAATTACCACCACCACCACCCCCCAAAAAAGAATTAAGATCATCTCTTAATTCTCTAATCACAGGCTGGCTAGATCCAACTTTTTTATCCTTGTTGATCTTCCTTCATCCTACCAAAAAGAGAAGATTTAAGTGAAGGAAATGGAATTTAATAGTAGCAATATTTGTTGTTCAAATTAGGAAACAGATCTCCATGGTCTGGAAAATTCTCTAATTCAGGATTAAACCAAATACCTCAAATCTTAAATTTAAAACATTAACCTTGAATTTTTTATAGCTATTATATATTAGATATATAATGGGCATTCAGTTAAGGGTGGGGGTTCTTTTTTTTAAATGTCTTCTCTAAATCACTAGAGATTTGGGGTCCTGCTCAGCATTTTCTCATTTCTACCTTTGAATTAACTCTTAAAAATATAATAAAATAAAAAAGACATCCTATGGGAAAACCGTTGAATTCTGTACCTAGAGTAAAACTCAAAAGACTTTTTAATATAACTTCTGCTTTTGTAAATGTCTGCATCATCTAATTTAGTCCTATAACATACCCAGTAAGAGATGCTTTTTTTTAAGGAAACAATCTCAAATTCAGAGAGGTTCCTTAACCACATGGTTAATAATGAAGATCCATAATTTGAAATTTTTGAAGATCCAAGATGCATGTTGTTTTTCCATTTTACTATGTCATTTCATGATGAAGAAATAATCGCTATATCAAATTATGCCAATTAGAAGTGGAAACAGAAAGAGGATGTTATATGAAAATCTCATTGACTAGTCTTAAAGACTAAAAGGAACTTTACAATCAGAAATATGTGTCACATTAGCTAGGAGAGGTGACTCATGCCTGTAATCCCAGAAACTCTGGAGGCTGAGGCAGAAGGATTAAAAGTTTAAAGTCAGCCTCAGCAACTTAGTGAGGCCCTGTCTCAAAATAAAATAAAAAGGACTGGGGATGTTTCTCAGTGGTTAAGCACCACTAGGTTCAATCCCCATTCTAAAAGAAAAGAAATATGCATCATGTTAGTTGCTGAGCACAAAGAATCAGAAACTCAGACTAAAATCAAAATTTATTCTCACCTGTAGTTGGCTTATATTTCTCCATTTTCCATAGTCCAACTCCTATAGACCTTGTTGGACTGGAGGAAAAGTTGGAAAATAATGCTGTTAGTTCAAACAAAAAGTATTTCATTTTAAAAGTTTATTCAGACCAGTAAACCTGGGGAAAGAGTGGTGTCGGGGGTTGGATGAAAGGGTAAAGGAATTCTCTTCATTCTCAAAACACTGAGCTATCAGCTGCAATATTAGAGAGGTGACAGAAATCAAAGGAAAGGGGACACTTTATGCTCCTGACCTGAGAAAGTAGCTGGCTTTTTCAGCTAGGGAAAGGGGGTGGGAGGGAAGTCAGGTGGAAAATCGAACAATGAATAACCTATGGACCTTTATTTCTCCCTGATTTCTTCAGGATTCTTCCATTTCCATTTATACAATAGATCATAATAATCTTTCTCTGCTGGGCTGAGGATTAAACCCAGGGCCTTGCACATGCTATGCAAGTGCTCTACCTCTGGACTACATCCCAGCCCTATAATCTATTATTACTTTTCCCAAGATTTTTTTTTTAATTAAAATACCCAGTCGGGCACTGTGGTACATACCTATGATCTCAACTACTAGGAATTACAAGCATCAAAAATTCAAGGCCATTTTGGGCAATTTAACAAGCCCCTGTCTCAAAAAATAAAAAGGGATGGGGATGTAATTCAGTGGATAGAGCACTTGCCTAGTATATCTAAGGCCCAGTTCAATCCCCAGTACCACCAAAAATAAAAAATAAACACCAAAGTGCAAATCCTACAAAACCTGTCACCAATCAAGGTTCATAATTACAATGTTAAGGACCAGTTAACCAAGTTTTTCTGACCAGATTCCTCAAAATTGAAGGCTCAAAATAATAAAGAATTGTGATTCATCCTTCCAAAAGTTCAGTGCTTAGCCAAAAACTGAATTCAGAATTCTTGTTATCACCTCATATTCTTTTCTATAAATTGCATCACTAGGTGTTCCTGTTATATTTGGCTTATTTATAAATTTCTATATTTTAATAAAGTAAAAAAATGATTTTCTGCCTCTAATTAAAAGTGTTCCCTTAAACTTTCATCTTATTCTGTGCTAAAAACTTAATGACTTTTTTATGTTCTATTAAAGACCAAAATTACCTTTCAAGTCTGAGGTTAAGTCATTCTGTTCTGTTCTTTTGGGAATTCAGCTGACTTCCTTTTTTGGTGGGGATGGGTGTACCAAGGATTGAACTCAGGGGCACTCAACTACTGAGTCACATTCCGGGCCCTATTTTGTATTTTATTTAGAGATAGGATCTCAGTTGCTGAGGCTGGCTTTGAACACCATCCTCCCGTCTCAGTCTCCCAAGCGACTGGGATTACAGGCGTGCACCACCACACCCGGCTCTACTTCCTTTTATAAAGGTACGTTCATCACCATTTTGTTTTGTCCTTTAAGAGTTGTCATCTCCCAGGCTAGTTTCACAGTTTTCCAATTATTCACATTCTTACTTCAAAACAAAACACAGGACAATTTCACTGTTACTATTAATTACTATGAACTAAAAGAGGATAATGAAAACCTACATGAACCTAACGAAAGCCAGCCTCAGTAACTTTGTGAGACCCCAAGCAATTTAATCAAAATTAAAAAAATAAATAAGAAACAAAGAAAGGGTTGAGGATGTAGCTCAGTGGCCCCTGGGATTCAATCCTCAATACCAAAGGAAAAAACAAAAAAATAATTAGTATTGTTTCCCATTCCTCAAGAATTTCAGTTGGGGAGGCATCTCTTTCAATGGATCCTTATCCCTAAGATTCCCTTGGGGCTTATCATCATACCCTGAAACAAAGTAATTTTTAAAAATCACTACTACTCAGCCTTATACAACAGAGTTTAAATAGTTTATCAAAACAGAAGGAAAAAAGAATCTGGAAAAAAATAGAAAATCAAAAATAAGAAGTTACAGAGAGGCAGGCCCTAGGTCCTACATAAATTATTCAAATTAAGTCCAATTTTAATCTGAAATTTCTCACAACTACAGAAAAAACTGAAGACAATCAACTGGTGATCTGCATTGTCTGGAAGGAAAGAGCAAATTGGTTTCTTAGGTGAGGTAAGGTTTTTCCTGAAATGGGTCTGAATAAAATTCCTCATTTGGGGGGCTGGGGATATAGCTCAGTTGGTAGAGTGCTGGCCCCACATGCACAAGGCCCTCGGTTTGATCTCCAGCACCACACACAAAAATTTTTTTTAAAAAATAGAATTCTTCATTTGGACAAAGCAATGTTTCTTGAACATCTTCACAAAAAGGAATTTAACTGTCTCAATAAAAAAGAGGAAAATGATGAGTTATCTCAAATTACAGAGCTTAAAATCTTAAGCTTTTGAAAATTCCAGCTGGAGTAATAAAATAGTGACTCACTAAAACTAATGGCTATATCCAGTAATTATCAGCTGTAAACATCAAAGAAGTCCTAATATTTTCAATGTGGACTTGCAGTGGATACTTAGGCTTGGGTGGATTTTCTGGAAACAAAGAGGTGGCAAGCTCCTCTATTTCTGTATCTTATACATGTTTTTATTGTTGCAGTAGTATCACTGTAATTAGATTTCTAAGATGAGTTCCACATCTGTACTTTTGGTAACTAACCCCTAGGACAATGCCTAGCACCAAAAATATACTCCTTAAATGTTCACTGAATTAAATAATACTTATGTAAAAAGAAACCCTAAATCAGGAAAATACTTAAAGTATTACAACAGTAAATTACACCCTACTACTCCCACTAAAGGGAAACAAAAAAAGATTCAGAGTGTGAAATGTTCCAGAGTGATGCTCCAGAGTTCTGATTTTTCCACTGAAGTATGTGGTCCTTTCATAGTATTTTATATTATCCAGAACTGGTCCCAGAAATATCTGGACTGACTAAACACAAAGCCTAACTAATACATTAAAAACATACTTAACTGATCTGGGCTATTGGGGATGTCTATTTAGGGAGCTATGTAAGTCAGTGAAAACTTTTTTCTATGACAGCTTCTTGAAGAGAACTGGTTTTGATGAAAATCCTTCTAAAGTATCACACACATTGCTGTAAACATTCTACAAAATACAACTGAAACGCTGACATGAAGATGACTCGTCTTTAAAATGTCCTCAAATATTGACATGCTGTAAGTTATTTGTTCTCTCTCCCTTCTCAGTGATTCTCCTATTACCTAGAGTGCATCCTTCTGCTCACTGCCACTGTTTCTGCTTTCTTTTCCCCTTTCTCTTCCTTCAGTTTCTTCCACTCCTATCCTTTCGTGCCCTTGATATCAGTGAGGGTTATTCTTCATCACCTGTTCAGTAGTCAGAGAAGACATGATTTTCCTTCTGCTTTCAAAAATGATAAGTCACATTCTGTGTTCTATAACCTTGTCTTTTGATTCTGCTCAAATATTTTTGTCACTGATGACTTTTCTGCACTTCTATTTTTCTGCATGTGTTGTTCCAGCCAACTGAAGGTAACTGGGAGTGAAGTGGAAGTGGTGAGTGCTAAGAAATCAAGTCCTTATTTTACTGTTATCTTCTCTTTACACATCTTCTCTTTTCACTTAATCTTCAAAGTACAGTACAGAAATGTCTATGAATGGCTTACTATATATGGCCTAATTCCAACATGAGGTCCTTCAGAGACTCCAAAAAATAGATAACTGCAGACGAACAAATTAAATTAAGGGCCCCAGTGGAAACTTAAAACTTCTAGACCATTTACCATTAATGCATATGCCAAAACCACATTCTTTTAGGCAACAAAGATATGTATCTAAAAGAAAGTTAACATATATGCTATTGACTTATACTGAGGGTTGCCGCCCCCCTTTTAAAGTTTTCACCTTGTATATTATTATCACTATAATTTTAGGAAAACATTTAATAAAAAATTAAACTTTTAAGTTATTAAGTCCACTATTTCTGTTACATAATACAAAAGGTTTTAAGATTATATATTCTTGTGTGCCTCAAAGTACACCTTCACTCTTTCTTACATGAAAGCAAGGTAAAAATACCAAAAATTTTTTGTTACTGCCTTTTGTTATTTGTTTTGTTGTGCTAGGATTAAACCTAGAGTCTTGCAAATCATAGATAAATGCTCTGCTACTGAGCTACATTCCCACCCAGCTCCAAATTCTTTTTGTATAGAATTTGATTAAAAAAAACCCACATTGTAAATTCATTAAACAGAGCTAAAAATAGATCCTAAATCCCAGGCTCTGAAATCTTTTTGCATATTTTAACATTAGGTACAAGTGTTTAAGGAATCTGCATGTTTTCCGGTGTGGAAATATAGCTGAGGTAGAATGAAATGAAGGCAGGTATAGATGATTGTGATTAATGAAAGGAAAACAAAAGTTCAAACTAGGTATCTTAATTCATTTCTCTATAGTGTATACCATCAGGTTCTTTAATTATGGAAAGATGGTCTCTTTCTGGGAACAAACATCTGAGGTTACATTGAAAATTTAGTGTCACCTATAGAACACTATTCCCTTAGGTCATCCAAGAGGGCACAGGAAGAATTTTTGTTACAAAAAACATTTTTGTGTTTTTGAAATGGGATTTTACCTACAATGATAGTAAAGGCTCACACTTACTAAGCAACCAAAACGTGTCAGGTAATTGTTAAGAATCATACATGGATTGACATTTGACCTCTTAACAAACCTGAGTTAAATATGATCATATATCCCCCTCTTTTATAGATGGGAGATGAGCTTCAGTAATTTACTCAATAAAACTAACTTAAGTTCTTCAACAGGGATTCAGATACCAAACATCAATTAGCACTCAAGCTCCATGCCACGGTGTCTTCACATTTATGTCCTACTCAGGTAAAATCCCATCTCTGTCAAATTTTTCTTTCTTGCAGTTTACTTAAAATATATCCTGAAAGTATTTAATAAGATGCAGTGCTTTAAAAGCATAATTTTGACTTAAAAACTAGAATATTTGCCCTATGTTTTTAATTTTTACTATCCCCAAAATGAATACATAAAACATCTGAACTATGAAAAACAGGATAAGACAAAATATCTTGTTTTAAAAGAACATAACCACTTAGTTGGTATTCCATTCAAAGTATCTTATAATAAAAGCACAAATTGTTTCATTTAACAACACTGAAGAATGAGGTATATGAATGTTTTAATCACAGACTTTACTGTATGCAATTAGCTGTATTTCACAACTAGCATCTTACAAAAAGACAGTACCATTGTGCCTGGATAAAGTACTGCATTAAACAGAAAATTACATTACCACAAGAAACCACCAAATATCACAACTGTCAGGGTCTACATTTTTTTTCTCCATATGTTATCATGTTTTTAATGTGATATTTTGTACCCAAGTTATGTTTTTAAGTTGATTTACATTTCAAAAGTCTCCTATAAGTGGATGTATACTAAGCAAATGGTTAGAGAAAGCAGGAGACCCTAGGAGAATTTAAGTATATGTGGTTTCTAAGTTGGATTTCAAAATACAACATAAAACACTTTATTAGTTGTAAACAAAATGCAAAATCTGTAGTCATAAAAATATTTTATTGGTAATTGTACATAATAATGAGTGGGGCTGTAAATACTTTTTAAATTTCAGGATATTGATAAATGCATAAATTGGCAGTTGTATCTGAAAATAGGGTAATATGATTTTCATAAGAACTGTCATATTTAATAAGAAGCCAATTAAACTGATATAAGATTAGTTATTTCCCAGTTCTGTGCAATAGTTCCAATTTCTGTGTTAATTAGATTCATATATCTATAACCCTGAATAAGTTTGGGACAAGGAAACAGTGATAAAACTATGATTAAGTTAAAGCTTTTCCAAAATTGCAACTTTTAAAATATGGCAAGTTTCTTTTCTGTTTTTGCCCAATGAATTTTAATGTTTTATATAGTTATTTGAATTTTAATGTTTTATATTATACAGAAAATACCAGTGTTCAATGACAATATCACCAAACCTGAATTATAAAGCTAAATAATCAATGTTTTATTGTTTACTAGTCTGCTAGTAAACATTACAATAAATGAATGTTTTGAAAAATAAGCAAACAAAAATGGATAAAACCAGAAGCATAATTCAGAAACAATAATTTAGTAAAAGGTGTCAAAACATTGGCAAAGGTTCATAACAAATTCTTTATTTAATAACAACTTTCCTATTTAACCACACCAAGTACCAGCAGGTGTATTTAAGAGGATAACCATTAAGAAAATCCTGTTGCAGCAATAGTTGATTAAGTTGATCTTTGACTTGTATACATATAACTATTTGTTTCACAATTCTCAAATATTACATATTTAGGCAGCTTGCACTATGTTATAAAAATTTAAACTTGTTACATGCCAATAGTAGAGAATTCAAGAATCATGTGTTAGAATTCACTAAACTAAAAGTGAAAATAGACTTACCAATAACACTGCATAATGATAATTCAACCACATTTTCATGGCACATAACCGCAGAGACCAAAATGTTAGGTCAGGAAATGTTTGGTAGGCATAGATTACCGTAAAATCTAACAAATTCTGACAAAATTTTAATCTTATGTAAAACTCAAATTATGGATTGTGCACAAATGTGTTTGTCATGAAAATGTGGTATTTCTTGGCATAATCTGTGTATTTGCATGGTAGGACAGAAGTGACTAAGATAAGAAATTGGAGAAAATAAATTTTAATGAGATTCTCCATTCAATGATGAGGCTTCTCCTCTGGGTGAAGATGACCTGGACATTCCCCTCTCTGTGTTATCAGAGCTAGAGCCACTCTGACTATGTTGATCTGCAGAAGCAGCACTAGATGCAGGCGGGGACTTTGTTTTCTCCTTAAAGTCTGTAATAATGACTGTTAGATCTCCAACGGTAACTTCCAAATGCTGAGCACTACTCCGATCCACATTTTTCAATCTTGGCCTAAACATAAAAAATGATGAGTTTTTAAACTAGCTTGTCCCTCTACCAAATTTCTGAATACACACTAAATAGTAAACTAGGCAAAAGTAACCAAATGAATACATCTATGTTTAAAGCGATTTATGTGTAACCAGCCACAAAAATATCACTAAATGCTTCAAATAATTAACATTAATTGAACCAATCACTCATGAATCTTCAACATGACAAAAAACTAACAGCCTGGATTTAGTGGTCTCTTAATTATGCTTTAAATTTATACTATATTAAGATAGATGTTTTAAAATCAAGGAAAATAGCTGTACCACAGAGGAAATTGATGAAAGATAAGGCTGAGATATATGTGGGGCTGTTATTCCACTGGTACCAGACCCATAACCATTTTGATTGGTCAAAGCCCATGCAAAGGAATTACCATTCTCCTGCTTTTCAAATAGTTCTTTTTATGAAGAAAAAAAAGAACAGACAGAAATACCTATTAAAAGTCTTGTAAAATGAAAACCATCCTCATACTTAAGCTTATATTTGTGACCTCTGGGTTTGATTTCACTTTTTGTATATATCAATGTTAAAAAAGAATATAAATATAGATAATTTTATTATTTCAACAATGCCATAAAACACTCTTCAAATTTACCTGGTTTTCTTATGACTGTTCTTTTTGCTAGTTGTTTCCTTTTCACTTTTTTCTTTTTCTACTTTATCTTTTTTCTCTTTCTTTGACTGTGTAGGGGGCACAAACTGCTGAGTAACCTGCTGTGCAACCAACTGGGAGACAGGTCGAGGTTTCCTGTGTGCATGTTAAAAAGAAAGGTTTTGGTATTATAACTTAAGAATATATATATAGTTTTATGAAAGAGAATCCCATGTTATGAGAATTTCTAGTATAAAATCCTCATATGTAAAATAAAATTACTGTGCTATTCAACAAAAATAGAAACAAACTATAATAATGGTTAAAATTCATAGTCTAAGATATATGGTCAAAATATTAAAATATAACTGTACACAAAGCAACATGAGACATCATTTAAATGTACATCATGAAATGTTCATAGGGAGGCATACATATAAATAAACATGAATTTTTAAAAAGTTAAACTTTAAGGTTTTCACTAAAATAATATTTTATTTTATTGGTACTAGGGATTGTACAAAGCAACCACTCTACCACTATATCACACCCTCAACCCCTGAAATAATATTTTAAGTTATCCTTCCTCCTCAGAGAACGAAATATCTAACTATCCAAGACAATGACTATTTTCTTTCCTTTTAAAACCTTTAATTTGTTCGCTTAATATTTTGAGTTCAAAATTTCTCATTTCTTATTACTCAAATCCTTGAAACTCCTATGACCTTAGTCACAATCTCATTATGCATTTTTTGACCTTAAAGATATTCTCAGTCTTTTGAGATTTAACTACTTACTCATTTAAAAAGAATATTGAGAAACTACTGCAGGACTTACACAGAAGTATTTTAAATGTCTCATGGATTCACCCTTTGGTGCAAGATAAGCTATCACCATATTGGCCCAGGATCACAAGTATAGAACTTGGGCCCCTAAGGCCCTTAAGAGAGAAAGAAAGGCAAGGAGTGGGAGAGAGCAGAGAGGGAAGAAGTATGGACAACAAATAAAAACATATTTCAACATATGGTTTACAAAAAATGGTAACTCCATTGATTAAAAAAAATCCTTATCCTATTGTAGGTAGTATAGTTTTAAAAACATTGTTGTTGTTGTTCTTCTTCTTCTTCTACAGCAAGACAAAACAAAATACTGAGAAAATACTGCAAAATCTAACATTCAAAGCTAAAAGGAAATAGGAAACAACATTTAAAACAGATTTCAGGAGACCAATCATGAATTTTGTTTAGAACCTATACAATATAAAGTACTGGAAGGACATCCAGGACAGATGTCTAATGCATAATTTAAAAAATAGGATTGACAGAAATCAGGGTTAGAGAGCTAGATCTAGAGATCTAAAGATCAAAATAAAAGTGTTATTGAATGTATGGTTAAGTAATGGTTGACTTGTAAGGAAATGAGCTTAAAAAAGAAAAGGATTAAGGTAGTGATGCTCAAATTCAAGGTATATAAAAATCTCCTAGAAGGCTTGTTCAATTTGCAGAGCCCTATAAGCAGAGTTTGATTCAACAGGTGTTGGGGTGGAGCTAAAGGATTTGTATTTTTAACTAATTTCTAAGTTAAGCTGATGTCTCTGGTCCAGGGACCATATTAAAAAGAAGTTTAAAGAATCTGTGCTATATTATATTTGGTGAATGCTGAAGAGTAGTCTGAAAGCAGAGAGCAACAGAAAAATGAAGGGGGAAAGAAAAAAAAAGGACTGAATAAATAGGAAAATATTCAATAATGAAAAGCTAAGGAGCATGATTTACCCTTAAATGATAGAAAGTTTTAGACTTAAATTTTACAAAGTGTCATCAATCTGAAGATATTGTAGGGAAACTTCCAGAAAGCTTCCAGGTAGAAATTCAAAATAAAAATTTAAAGTAACACCTAAAATAAGGAAGCAACAAAGAAGTTAAGTCAGGCGGAAAAAGCAAATGTTGACTACTTAGATGTGCCTTCCTCACTTCTCAACCTACAAATATTCCTTAAGCAAAACATCACAAAATCCATGTTATCATCTAACATTATGTGGGTGAATACTATAGTCTGAATTTTTGTGTCCCTTACCCCAAATTCTTATGTTGAAACCTAATCTTTAATGTGATAGAATCAGAAGTGGGGAGGTAATTGTAATTAGGTCATGAGGACAGAGCCCTCCTGCATGGGATCACCACCCTTATGAAAGAGGCCCCAGAGAATAGCTCTGTCCCATGTACCACGTGAAAACAGCAAGAAAACACCATCATATGAAACAGAAAGTGAGTCTTTATTGAACACTGAATCTGCCAATACCTTGCTTAACCTTGCTCCTTTCGGCTTCCAAAACTGAGAAGTATATTTTTGTTGTTCAAAATCTACCCAGTCTTTGTTATTTTGTTATGGTAACCCAAAAAGACTAAGACAGTGGGATCAAGGACAAAACAAAAAGAAATTATTCTTAAATGTTGACAGGTGGTAAATAGAAAATTAAGTAAGGAACAAATGGGGTGTAAGAAAGAATTGTAATGTTAACCTTACCATTTCTTCTGGGCTATAAGCACCACAAGGAAAGGGAAGTATCTGCTTTATGCAACATTGTATAATTACTACCTACCTGATACAGTATTGAAAAAAAACACTAAATATCCAACCCTTATTTGTTAATGAATGAATGTATGATAATGATCAGATCAGGGTATTCGCATATCTGTCACCTCAGAGGTATCTCATTCAGAAAAGGGGTACTGCCTCAAAGTTTACTAATTGGTCAGGATTAACCACTCACTCTACAGAAGAAATAGAGCAATAAGAATTTAATTTCTTTTTTAGTTGTACTGGAATATGGCTAGAGAAAGAAAGCTTAAAGATATGGCAAGGTTGAAAAAAAAAGAGTTGTTTAGGCTAGTGCCTAATGAACAGTCACTTAAAATTGAGTCACTCTAAAATATACAATGCAACTCAGTAGTTACCATTTTGTCTCACAACTTGTTGTGGATTTTTGAGTTTTCATAATACTATGAATGCCAACTTCACCTATTGCACTTTGTAATGTCATTCCTTCTATCTCAAAAATTAAAGCAAAATGAATTTATAAAAATATCAGAGTAAATAAAACTGCAAACATTAAAATAAATTTATATTCTTTTGAACCCAGAATAGAAATTGAATTAAAGTTATTTATGTTATAATTAATAAACTGTACAAAGTTTATTTACACCTACTTTATTTACTGCTGCCTTTAAGTAAAACTCAAATAGTTTTCTAACCTCAGTACCTAACATTAAGATTTTCAGGAATTTAACTATATTATGCTATAATTAGGTACAGAATATTTTATAACATAATCACTCCTTCCCCATCCCTCCTCCATCAATAGTTTCTAACTGGTACCCCTCTGTTATGACAGTATTCCTCAACATCTCCCTCCCATTTTCATATAAGCAGGGATAAACCTAATTTCCAGATTCAGAAATCTTACAATACATTGCCACCAGGTTTTTTTCACACATTTCTACGTTCAGAATCTTCCTAGGGTCATTTATCCTTTTTTGAAATGTCTTATCAATCTGAAATTAAAAGTATATTAGCAAAACTAAAAAATAAATATTTAAAAAAAAGTCATGGAGCTGGGGATGTGGCTCAAGTGGTAACGCACTCGCCTAGCACACGTGAGGCACTGGGTTCGATTTTCAGCACCATGTAAAAATAAAATGAAGATATTGTGTCCACCTAAAACTAAAAAATAAATATTTTTTTTAAAGTATATTAGCAAAACATAATTTACTTCATAAAACCATAAATCTGAGTTAAATAATTTATGTTAAGTTATTCTAAAGTATTACACTCTTGGTGTAACTTATGAATAGAATACTCATTAAATGTACATTCTTGGGCTGGGGTTGTAACTCAGTGGTAGAATGCATGCCTAGCATATGTGAGACACTGGGTTTGATTCTCAGCCCCATATAAAAACAAATAAATAAAATAAAGGTATTTTGTCTATCTACAAAACAAACAAAAAAAAAAGTATATTCTCCTAGGTGGCAAAAACCAACATGGAAAGAACACATAGCGGAACTTGTCAGGGGAGAGACTAGAACAAAGAGACAAGCCAGAAGACTACCACATCAAACTAGAAATGACATAATAGCTATAAGGATCTACACTGTGGTATAGTTAGAATGGAATGGAAACAGTGAACCTCATGACAGTTCAGAAGAATAATTTCTGTTATGTACCTGGATACAGAAGGCTAAAGAACACACACAGACACACACACACACACACACACACACACACCTGCCATTAAAGTGAAGGAAATAAGGGAATCAGAGAGTAGTACAGCAAGCCAAGAGCAATTCTCTGAGACTCACCAACTTGTTAGATATGCTGAACTTGGAAATTTTGTGACATGAAAGAAAAGCTGGAAGCATGAGAATAGTGATGTGATAAGTAATCATGTAATCTCTATACTAGTATTGTTTGTTGTTTATTTTATTAATTTTTAATCATCAACAAATTTTCTAGGGCTGGGGTTATAGTTAAATGGTAGAGTGCTTGTCTAGCATGTGTGAGACACTGAGTTTAATCCCTAGCATCACATAAAAAATAAATAAAGCTCCATCAACAACTAAAAAAAATTTTTTTAGACATACAATCAATCCACAAGCACATGAGAAAATGCTCAACATCTCTAGCAATCAGAGAAATGCAAATCAAAACCACCCTAAGATACCATTTCACTCCTGTAAGATTGGCAGCCATTATGAAATCAAACAACAATAAGTGTTGGCGAGGATGTGGGGAAAAGGGCACACTTGTTCACTGCTGGTGGGACTGCAAAATGGTGAGGCCAATTTGGAAAGCAGTATGGAGATTCCTGGGAAAGCTGGGAATGGATCCACCATTTGACCCAGCTATTGCCCTTCTTGGACTATTCCCTGAGGACCTTAAAAGAGCACACTATACGGATACGGCCACATCAATGATTATAGCAGCACAATTCACAATAGCTAGACTGTGGAACCAACCTAGATGCCCTTCAATAGATGAGTGGATAAAAAAATTGTGGCAGCTATACACAATGGAGTATTATGCAGCACTAAGAAACGACAAAATCATAGAATTTGCAGGGAAATGGATGGCATTAGAGCAGATTATGCTAAGTGAAG